GATGCAGTTTATTCATGCAAGACAATAACATACTCATAACTGGAAATAATTAAAAGATTAATTCAAAGGAGACTATATTTTCCCTGTCTCATAGGCAATTAAACTAAGACACTTAATCTCTCAACTGATTTCTCCTGAACAAGAAATAAGAGATAAAAATCTAATCTTCTCACCTATAAGCCAGGGCCGTCACATGGATATAATTTCACAATAACTGTTATGCATTGAATTGTGTCCCCCTAAAAGATGTTTGAGTCTTCACCCCTCAGTAACTGTGAATGTGACCTAATTTGGAAACAGGGGATCTAGATGATCAAGTTAAGATGAGATCATTAGGGTGAGCCTTTATCCAATATAATTGGTATTCTTATAAAAAGGGGAAATTTGAAACAGAGAGAAGCATGCACTCAAGGAAGAATGCCAGGTGTACACGAAAGCAAAGACCGGAGTGATGCATCTCCAAGTCAAGGAACAGCAAAGATTGCTAGGGGAAAGGCATGGAGCAGATTCTCCCTCGTAGCCCACAGAAGGAACCAACCCTATCATCATCTTGATCTTGGACTCCCAGCCTACAGAACCAGAGAGACAATACGCTTCTGTTCTTCTAAGCCACCCAGTTTTTGGTTCAGTTGCTATGGCAGACTTAGGAAACTAATATAATAACCATAAGAACTATACTTCCATAATTTTGAGTCTAGACTCAAAACTTAACTAGAAAATTTTAAAACACCTATTTGAATCATATAAACAGTATTATTTTCTTTCCTCAAATTTGGCGAAGCTGTCTGCTAAGCTTTGTAACTTTGGACAAGTCATCCTCTTCGAGCTTTGGTTTTCTTATTTGTAAATTAAGACACAGTTTTAAAGACCAAACTAAGATAACATACAGTAGGTGACTCTGCAGACTTTGAAAGTTACACAAATATCAAGTACCATTATTATCAACAAAATTACATGACTGTTATCTAGTAAAAAATACAGTTGTACTATATACATCAAGCCATAATTACTTACCTACAGAAGATGTGCTCACATCCTCCTAAGCACACAGGCTCTCTCAGAATGTTAGTGCTGTTTGAAGAAATTAAAACAATCAAGACTTGAGTCATTGTTAAATAAACATTTCATACCCAATACTTCATCCAAGGCCCAACACTACCATATTTCTCACTTTCTCAAAGCAGAAGGTATTAGGGATGAATATTTGAAAGGCTGTTACTCCTTGGTTAAATATTATGCCATAACATACCTGCTGATTTTAAATAGTAACTACCAAAGAAAGTTGGAGAAAGGAACAATTTTTTTCAAGTGTCCCTAAACCTCTTGAGGCAAAACCAACTACTGGCTGCTTCTTTTCAACTACTAAGGTGTATCTTCCCCTGAAGTGTAGATCATATACCTCAAAATGTCACCCACACATAGAATGACCATATAATGTATTGTCCAAATGAGAAAACTGAGAGTGAAGAGGAGTCATCATTGAACAGGATACTGGGACAATAAGAATAAACCAGGACTGTCCCAGACAAACCAGGACATCTGGTCATTTTGACTGTAAGAAACCACGGTTTCCCATTTAAAAAAACATGTGCTTCTTACTATGGTAAAGTAGCCACCCATTTTTCAGCTATATTGTGAAAAATGCAGCCATTCTTTCAGTTCACAGCAAGTTAATTGTTCTTTAAGCAAATGTAAACAGAAATCATCAGATTGGCAGTCTGTCTGCAGACAGAATGAAGTTCCCTGCAGTCAGCAAAGAGGCAAACAAAATATTCCTACTACTGTCCATCAAAATACCTGCTACATTTGTTAATCCTAAGAAGGTAATGATACTAATAAATATACACCAAGACATTTTACTCAGTGGATGTAATGTACCCAGAGAAGTAAAGCCTTTTAAATGATGAGCACTTTTTGTGCTTGGTTTATTATACTAACTCTAAAACCTTTAGGTATTTACACCATTATCATCAAATTACCTCTGTACACATAGCACATATCAAGAAAAACAATTCTCCACATTTCTTGCAAGATTGAAAGTATCACACTGTACATCTTAATAGATATGAACATTCAAGTGAAACTGAGCTTTTCAGAAAGATTGCTAAAAACAGAGTACACACCCACAATGTTATTCTCAAGATACTGAAAATGGTGCTCACTGACATTACAAAACCTATTACTTTTTAAAAACTCACCATGCCTGATTTTTGTATCACAGTATGTACAAAGTACTGATAAAAATACGACTTGTGACTCTGCCAATTAACATGATCTCTTTTAACATTCATACTGCGCCTATAATTTTTGTTATTTGACCTACCAAACCTAACCTCCTTTTCTCCATCAAGTGTACTGAATTCTATTTCGTGGCAAGCTCCTCCTATCACAATATCCTTCCTTTTTTTTATTACATCGCCCTGGCCAAACCTCCACCTTCAGGTTGCTCTCTACCTTGAAAAAATTCCATTCAGTTTCTGAGCACCTTGGATTCCGATTCCGTATCCAGCCCAGGCCAGACTTAACTATTTCCAAGCCGCCTTCTCCACTACCTAATTGTGCTGACCTCTTAGACACTCACGGATGCCAATCTATAATGCTAGATAGGCCCCAGAGCCTACTTCTTCCTTGCCTACTCAGGCTGTGAATAACCACTATAAAAAGAAAGAAAGAAAAGAAAGAAAAGAAAGAAAAGAAAGAAAAGAAAGAAAGAAGGAAAGAAGGAAAGAAAGAAAGAAAGACAGAAAGACAGACAGACAGACAGACGGAAGGAGGGAAGGAAGGAGAGAGAAAGAGAAAGAAAGATGTATAAACTTCTCTCTATAAACTCATTTGGTAGCAACTGGGTACTGCGGCTCATGCCTGTAATCCCAACACTTTGGGAGGCCGAGGCGAGAGGATCACTTGAGGCCAGGAACTCGACCGGCCTGGGCAATGTGCTGAAACCCTGTCTCTACTAAAAATACAAAAATTAGCCAGATGTGGTGGCGCATGCTTGTAATCCCAGCAACTTGGGAGGCTGAGGCATAAGAATCACTTGAACCTGGAAGTTGGAGGATGCACTGAGCCAAGACTGAGCCACTGCACTCCAGCCTGAGTGACACAGCGAGACCCTGTCTCAAAAATAAATAAATAAAAATTTAAAAATATAAAAATTAGCCAGGCATGGTAGTGCACGCCTGTAATCCTAGCAACTTGGGAGGCTGAGGCACAAGAATCACTTGAACCCAGTAGGCACAGGTTGAGGTGAGCCGAGATTACACCCCTGCACTCCAGCCTGGGTGACAGAGCCAGACTCTGTCTCAAAACAATAACACAACATAACATAACATAACATAACATAACATAACATAACATAACATAACATAACATAACATAACATTCCATTCCATTCGGCAGCCTCTTCATTTTTCTATCTCTACCAAAGTCATGTGTTAGATATTCCATAAATAAACAAACAAATGAATAGATGGCTATTCAAAACAATCTCTATGCTTCCTCATCTCATTAACTTTACTGGAACTTAATGGTGTAGGTTTTTTACCACCTAAATACATTTTTATCTTTTCACCAGTCATCATACCCCTTCCAAGAGTCTCAGAGGAAATTTCAATCTCCTTTAGTCACTCTTCCTAAAATATGCTGCTCTCTCTAGTTCCCATATCTTTCCTGCCTCCCAAAGCACTATATATTCATAATAGTTGCCTTTCTTCTCTCATTTGCATTTACACAGGAACAGGTAATCTCTCCTTCAATGCAGAAAAAAAACACTGTTTTGATCATACCTCCCATTCTACCTGCTGCTCCATCTCTTCCCTTTCTTGAACAGATAAAAGTTCTCAAATGAGTGCTCTATACCAGCTACTCCCATCTCCTCACCTGCCTAGCTTTAACTCCCTCCACTCTGCTGAAACTGTTCTCCAAAGCATTTTTGGTCCCTTTCTCTCTGACCACTCTGGGAAATAACACTGATCTCATCTTCTTTCCCGAAACCTTTCCTTCCACCGAATTTTCATATTTTAATACACATTTATCTGCCTATTTCAGCATTTCCTTAGCTGCTTCTCCTACCTCTCCATGTAGGCATACCCCCAGGATGCAGTCCGTAGCCTTCTGGCTTTCTCTGGCAATACTTGACTCAATGCCTTGATTCTGGTTTTCAACTTTAAATTTCCTTCCTAAGATGACTGAACTCTTTAGCTATAGTTTGTAACCTTCACTCTAGCAATAAGATGTTATCATCTATTAGTAATGATTTAATATGTGGGAATAACTGATCAGTAGTACTAATTATTCTAACTAGTGAGCTAGAATATATATTTGTGTTGCTGTTAATAGATAAGGAAAGATAATGGAAA